CACAGCGGAATAATCTGAAACGACCTGGTATCAGGTAGACGTCAAAGGAAGGAGAGGAAACTTTTGGAGTCTTATAACTGTACGTACGAGGTGGGGGGGGGGGGGGGCTTGTATATCTGTAGCGAATAACTTCTTGTGGGCGAATATTCTAGAGGCTAATTATTAAAGGACTTAGACGTTAGGACGTTAGATCAGTACCCCACGAAAAAAGTCCCCAACAACGAATACTCCAGAAGTAAATTAAACATTCCGCAGGCTCAGAAGCAAATTTATAGGAAGCTGAAGATCATGGGCAGTGAATTTTCCGATGGCAGGTATTCTGAGTGAGGTAGAGAGAATAATTTACTAGAGTCAAAAGACAAAGACCAAATAACCTATTCTTGATTGGTTTTACGAGAGAATCTCGCCCTCTTTCGCTCACTAATTTTTATTCATATGACCTGAAGAATAAGGGCCCTGATGTGAGTTCTATAGTGTACTTAACCCCCAGGTTCTACGCTAAATTCACACTACAAGAACACGGAAATAATGTCAACCCGGCAACGTTTAAAAATGGCCACCCGAATGACTATTCCCTCCAAAACTTAACAAGATCCCACTTAAATTTGAAAAGTGGCACGTGATCAAACATCCAAGGCAGGGCCCCCCATGCTAGTTGTGGACAACGCTCTGACCTGAAGCACAGTAAGGAAGGAACGTAAAATAAAGCACTCAAATTGTAAAAAGTTTGTTTAATAATGATCGCAATTATTAAGATTGTGAAAGCTCGGAAATTTAAGTCGAAATAAATTACATTGCAAAAATAAACTTTGAAAATGGTAGTTCACCGAATAAGAATAGAAATAGGCTGGGAAAAAAAGAATTTACCAATAAAAAACCCGCCGTCAAATTAATATCAAATTGTGTTATAACATCACAAAAAGTAGCAGGTGAACTTCAAGAGGTAACATATAGGTTAAAAACAAGTTTTAGGAATTATGGCTCAGGTAAGCAGGTACCTAAATTCTGAGGCAGGGTGAAATGCACAGGATGTGACGCATCTTTGGTGCAATAAAGTCCTTTTGTTAAAAGCAAGATGGAAAATTACATGGCCTTGAAGGCAAATTTAACTAAAAACGAGATATGTGGAAATTATTGAATCGCCACTCATGTATCGCACATAGATTCTAAACTGAAGAACTTTGATTAGCGTAATCCTGCTCCTGCAGGATAGGTAACCCGCCCCTGGTTTCGGGGTTTCGAGCCTACAGTTGAATGCCGAAAACAATCACGGAATTAGGTGTCGTACCTCAAATGGTTACAGTTCTTACCACCCCCGTGACTGCTTCATTCACGGAGAAAAATGTTAGTAACAAACAACAAGTCAGTACATACATCAAACGAATCGGTAATTTCCACATATTAAAATAAAATGATCTAAACTTATATGAATGTTACTTCAGAGACAAGACCAAGTAATCAACTACAATAAACATAAATTAAACAAGAATTACACCAAAAACGTAAAAAATTACAAACCAAAAGGATAACGGTGTTAAATATGTTATTCTGCATTGCGGTTAAACCAAGTAAATTTCAGAAACAAAGATTGAAACACAAAAAATATAAAATGCGGCATACAAAACACAATAATACGATATAAAGAAATGCAAAAATTACTACCTGCATTAAATAACACAAAATAATAACAAACATTTATGGAGCGACGCGTACACGACCACCATTCACAAGATGCCAAACGTAATCCACGTTCGTGCTCTTCAGATAGCGCAAATCGCTTTCCCCTCCTAAAAATTGCGTGGTTGCCAACTCTCAAAAATGTGTGCATCGTCGTAAGTTGTATATACAGAGTGGAACCTCTCGGGTCTCTACCCAGAAATTATTAGCGTGCGAATTTCGAAAAGCGGATTTACCAGTTCTCCGTAGTCAGTTTGGCGTAATGGTTTAAGGCTCGAACTCTAACCTCACAACTTAACAGTTTTTTGTGGTACAACTTCTGACTACCATGCTTCGAAGGGCATGTAAAACTGGCGGTCCCGGCAGTCATACTGCGACTGTCATTAGGTCACACAGACCGCTGTTCATGCGATCTGAAAACGTCTCTAACCGAGGAGTACCACCCATACGATAAACAAACAATTAACACAAATATTATTCTGTAGAGAATTTTTTCTGAGCGGTTATTCCAAATTTTCTACTGTGCGATCAAAAATGAGTTGCTATCGAGTCACCTTTGGAATTTTTGGTTACATGGGAAACCGTACTTAACTTTAACTTCCAAAGGCGACTCAACAGTCAACAGCAACCCATTTTTGATTGACCGTTATAAGAGCAAGCATTCCAAGCATAAACCTTAAGTAGTGTGAGGTTAGTGAGTTTTGTTGAGGATGAGGAAGCAAAATATTCCGGTAGAAAATTACGCGAGTCAGATTTTTATTGTGGGTTAGGGGGGGGGGGATACTCCGGGGGTGCCCTCCCCACTCGCCATAAAACCGGAGCATATATTTGACAAGTTTATTTAACGTACAGAGGGGGTAATATGCCAAAAGTGAATATTTTCCAAAACAAACTTCCAAACGCACACTCTCATAAAATGTTTCCATAGCGAGGAGGGGGGGGGGTCAATTTTCTTAGAGCCGAGCAGTTTATGTGGAGGATATTCTGGTAGTAAATAAACCTCCTCAACCATTACACTAACCATCTGAAGGAATACGAATGCCCTCACAATTTTTCAGGTGGAGATGGGGAACTTTAATCTGAGACAGCCACAAGAGCATTTCTATATTGACCGAGCAGATTTCGGAAAGATGATTTATTACTTTTCAACTTCTTCCTGAACTCCCCAAATTAAAATGAATTTTACATGACGATAAGCGTGTGAGTTATGAAAGCCTTCACTTCGAAAATAATTTGTATACTCACTTATAAGGCGTAAGGAATTTTAAGCAAGGGACCAGATTAATGAAGAAAAAATGAATTAAAGCAAAAAAAGCACGCCTTGAATAAAAACTCGGCTCTTGACGGGAAATTGAATGAGCAAAGGCGATCGTTACATGCACGAAACGTACGCGCAAGTCTCGTTACATCTTTGTCATAATCTGCAAGTTCAAGAATGTTTAGAATTTGCAATCGTTGTCGTTAACGCCCCCCTCCCTGTCGAGCTCAGCGTGGAATCGAAACGATTCAAAATTGCATCCCCCACTCTGTTATCGTCTTGTCCAGGTTTAAAGTTTAAATTATACTATCAACTTTTTCGTCAATTTCAAGACTGGAGTTAGAAGTGTCAGTTTAATTTTAAAATTGACTCCCATTTTTCCATTCCAATCCGAACCACCTCACAAGCCCTTAAAACTGAAGCAGAAATTAATGTATGCAATCTTAGCTTTATGCAATATCGTAAGTAAATTAAAGTACCACTAAGCCGTTACAAATTGCACCTGAAGTTCTATTCAGGTAAAAGCTGTTTTTCTGTCGTACTTGCGAAAGAAAGTGGTTGTGAATTATGGTTATTTTCACAACAATCTTGGGAAATGGGGGTTTCCTGGCACAAATACAGAAAGAAATATGAAAAGCATTTGCTATTGTGTAGTTAAATGAGCATTCTTAAAAAAACTTCTTTAGCTTGCGAAGACTGCTAAATTATGTTGGACAAGTGTACAGTATTTGCAATTGAAATCAGAATGGAAATTGCTTCACTCACTAAACAGATTTTTAATAAAGAGCTTATTATTACTAGACGCTTTTATTTAGTGGATCTGGATTCAAGTAAATACTTTGAGCTTGATTCAACTCCAGAAATTCCATAGATACGTCCATTTAGATAGCTAGGGGGAAGTAATGAGATCTGTGGTTAAATAAATAAAGAAGTCTTGCACGAATTGAATGGTAAACAGTTGTAATTAATGATAAAAAGGAATATAATTTAACATGGTAAAGGCAACATGACAGTTTTCAATACCTACTGGGCATTTACTATCACTCTCTTAGCAGCACATTAACATTAGAAATCATTAAGGGTTGGTTAGATCATTTTTCCATCAAAACTTCTCCTAAAAATCAGATACGCAATTCTGCAATTTGCTTGACCAAGCAATGAGACCATCACGGCACTTGAACAAGATATTCCGGTGGTTGATTCTTCGGTCCCCGCTATGGTCCGCGTCACAAAATGATTCAGCATCACCACCATGATTCTTGTACAAAATTTCATAGTTCTGGGCTCCTGTTATGTACTTCAAGAGTCGTTCCACCCGTTTCCATTGCTTTAAGGTAGGAAAATCCATCTTTCTTGAAAGAAATCCGATGGTCTTGCAGCTACAGCTAAGAATAGAAGAAACCCAAGAACTTTGGTTTGGCACGATTAAACATATTCAAATCCACGCGTTCAGCAATATCAGCCTTCTACCAGTTCAAAGGTATCATTAGCCAAATTCTTACTTGCGATGTCGATAACATTTTTTATTCTTTACTGGATTTTGTACGTACCAACTTTTCTTCTGCTCCTGCAACAAACCATTAAATGGACGGTTTATTTCAACCAAATTCACTTGATTGAACTTCGAATAAGCAGCCCAATTAATCAGTAGTTATCGATATGATTTTATTTTATTTCCCTTATTTTGAAATTATATTCCAGATGTACTATAAAAATACAATACGAATTGAGTGTATAAGTGGCCTTTAAAAGCACTTGCAACGTTTCGTAACAAAACGATACTTAAAGCCCATTGGTTCTTTCGTAACAGAATCAAACTCTATCATTTCTCCTTCTCCGACACATTCCCCAAATAGAAAAAGTATCAAACCTTGACTACATAGCGCTCTAATGATTTAAACATTAGACTTATCGCACGACTCTCGTATAACAGCTAAGCCAATTGATTAATTCCTGTGAATGACGTAGTGACTGTTATTTAAAAACAACTACGCCAAATTGGCCAATTTTACTATTTCCAACACGAATATAAGACACCCACGTTTCGTTTCCGTCAAATGCCAACGCAATATTTTACTCTGCACTTTACTTACTTATTTTGTATAAGGGGCTAATATCTGCCTGTTTGTTTCAGATGAAGACGTTCCAAGTAATTAAAGTTTGCTGACAGCTACTGCACCTCCACTCACCCTTCCATCCCGCGCAAGTAAGTTATGGCGAATAATTTCACCGCTTAAGGTCAGATTTAATATTTCAGCCATGAATTTAATAAATATGGACGCGGAGAACCGCGTCGTCTTAAACGTGGGCGGTATACGTCACGAGACGTACAAGGCGACGCTGAAGAAGATACCGGCGACGCGTCTCTCGAGACTCACGGAGGCGTTAGCTAATTACGATCCCATTCTCAACGAATACTTCTTCGATCGGCATCCCGGAGTCTTCGCCCAGGTCCTCAATTACTATAGGTAAAACTGTCTCGTAACGCGGAAACTTCGTCAGGTGAATTGTTACAGAACGGGAAAGCTTCATTATCCATCCGACGTGTGCGGTCCGTTGTTTGAAGAGGAGCTCGAATTCTGGGGACTCGATGCTAATCAAGTCGAGCCTTGTTGTTGGATGACATATACACAGGTAGGTGTAGCATTTCAGTTTCAGTTTGTCTACCTACTGAAGGTGTCAGGTATGATACGATGAGCTTTTATTAAACAACCACACACCAAATTTCCCACAATTCTCCACGATTTTAGTAATAGAAAGCATACGCAATGGTTAAATCCGCGAAACAATATAATAGGATATCAGAAATTCCAAACAAAATTGGTTGTACATAAATAACATTGAGAGTTGCACTCACCAGGTTCCGTTGCTTCTCTTGTTATAAAATTGCGATAAATATTTGTGTCAATAAATGTGAACTGCGAATCTGGCTCACGGCTCCTAAATTTTATGATGACGGACGCCAGTCCCGAACTTACTGCAAACAATAGTCGTTTGTAGTAAAAAACGGCACGATTAATTGATTTGTCCTTGACTGAATAAGATAATAATTTTACGCGACAGTAATTCACCTACCCAACTGCTGAAGTATTTTATCGGCTCTACTTTACATAATAATCTCATTCCCAGTGGAAAATCTTATACGATTTTTTCGCTGCGCATACCATAATGCAAAAACTATGAATGGGCGGCTCGAATAACCCCGAACCGAATTCTTTCTACTTTTCTTTTCTGATGCTAGCCCCACCGTGACTCAGAACCGAATCTATCAGAGAACAATTTACTTTCAGACTACACATTTTGCTCTGGTAACCCGCACCCGAGTTGCTGTTAGCGAAAAACCGAATCTCAGAAAAATTTAATTTTGGACCACACACTGATTACGCTATAGTCCAAACCCGAGTCAATACAATACTCTCCCACTAATAATCTCTACCTTTTCATTTGAAGTAATTAACGCTTCTTATTAACGACAAACGATTATCACTGATTCGTTTGCTTCCTGGTTCCTGCCCTACGTATTAAATAAGATACCCACTTTAGCTGTTGTTACTCCGACATCTGGTCCCCAGACTGCCTAAAGTTATTATGAGAACAATAATCGATAGAATTTAAATACGCAGAACCAAAGTATGATTGTCTTGTCAGCTTAAAAATTTAAACTGCGAACCTTGAAATTACCAAGCCACACTTCGACTACTCTGCCCACCTTCTGCTAACAAACCTCCAATGCACATTTAGGAATCTCCGAAATGGCTACTTTATAAAAAATTCAAAAAATTAAATCCAAATTAAGAGCTACCGTTGCAACCTTAGTCTAGCTGATAACCATTAATTATAAGCGAAATGAAGGTGTATGACAAATATTGCAAAATTTGCACTTATGCAGCGACTTAATATACTAAAATAGCACGACCACGGTCATCCGTACGATTCCCATCCCGGTGATGACCATCTTGGTATCGATTTCTCGACGACAAGCCATATCGGCGACCATTTACTTCCCGGCTTCGGTTATCCCGGCGATGAGCAATCCCAGCAAAAATGTACATTCCCGTTTCATGTTTATTATATTGAAGCAATCCACCGGAATTCAGTTTTCTATTTGTGATTTTTTTCCTTCTAGATATAATACAATCTGACTAGGGACTATATTATCAAATTGAAAGTATGCCATTTACCGATAGGTAAAGCTTTCTGGTATCTACCTGTGTAGGTAATTGGATAATTGGGTAAAACGTAACTTCCTAAAATTCTTTTATATTCGTCATCGACTATTCCGTTATATTTCAAAGCAGCTCAGTAAAGTTCTTCCGAAGAATCTTCAGAAGTTCTTCTAAGATTCAATAATCATTAAACACTTTTCAGAAAATTGTTAGATATCCTTTAAGGGATTTTGCGAAATTGCGAACGAGTTTATCAAAATAAACATAGAACGTTTTAAAATTACTTACAGTTTTCTCTTAAGAATCCATTTAATCTGGTCAAAACAACGGTTTTACGACATTCAGCGGCACAAACGCAATCGTTGGCAGACTCATTTCTTTTCTACTTCATTGAACTCAATCATTCGAGTCTGTTTGTTTAATTCAAAGGCAAAATTTCTTTCTTCTACCTATGCCTTATGCCTGATTTTCCAAAATCAACGTAACTTTTTTCCGTAAACGGATAAACCGCATTAAACTTTTTACGGACTTTAACTTAACTGCATCAGCACAGATTATTATGATTGCGACGAAACTGCGTCTTCAAATAACTAATATGGCCAATAAAGTTAGCGTAGAGAAACGTACACGCTCTTTTCCCGTCGCGAGATTAACAGCGTACCGTGAGACAGTCGCTTTAGGTTGACAAGCAACGTTTCTCTATTTAATTTCGTATTTATCAGAACACCACTTCCACAGAAGCATCAAACTCCTGCTTCCGCCAATTTCAAATGTAATGCCCAATAAGGAGCGCGTAAAGCGTCCCCTCTTCCATAACGCAATTACGCACAAAAGAAAACGTGCACCTGTGTCCTTTGCTATCAGCACCAAACAAACGTGAGTATTAAAAAAATTAACTTTCGTCCGAAAACATTCCTTATCGCAAAACTTACATGCAATGTTGACATCTCACAATTTAAATAAACAAATTCAATTCAAACATACACTATGCAATTAACAGGAATTCACTAAGATAACCATTTCGGATTAAATAAACCAATTCTGTGCTTATTCGTAATGAAATTCTCTAGATTTAGATTAAATTAAAACACAAAATTGCCCACTTCAATATTATTTCAGCCGAAAAACGCCCCCCTGACGTTGTTTTCAATCCCAATAATTTCTTTAGAATTTCAGATATTCTTCAGAGATCCTCCGAGCTCTGTAGACGTCCTGGATTTTTGGAAATGGTTTTTGGTCTTTTGGACATACTGGTGTGATTTCGCAGGGTTTATTAGAGGTCTTCTTCAAGGATTTTGTGAAGTTTCACATTTTCCTCCTCTTCATCTTTAGCCTTTTCAAAATACGCAAGGGTTCCTTGCTTTATGCCTTCACCCATTCCGGTCTCTACTGCTTTGAGGTATGGAAGAACGGGGTTTTTCGGCACTGAATGCAGTTCCTTTCCCAGTCTTTATTTGTGGTATTTATATAGTTTCGATTTTGTTTAGGCATAAATATAAATTCTTTCGTTTTAATTTATTTTGATTCCTTTAATCTAGTAGTAGCAGAAGAGTATACAAATAAGGGTTGTTTCGAAATCACTAAAAAGCCATTGGGGAATTTCTTTTAATTTCAGTACTTACCCAGAATTAGTCAAAAGTGCTCTACAATTTTGGCCCACTACGCACTTGCAACATTTTTGAACTGAAATCAGGACGCTATAGGGCAGACCAAAACCAAGCTGCACTTCGGTAGAAAATCTCTTGTGTCAAGATGGACGTCTATTCTAAAAAACCATAAGAACACAAAAGGTTTCCCAAAGGGAAAAATAGCCGACATAAGCACAAGTTTGAGCCAGAAGAGGATTTTCAATTTAACATCATGAAATCGAAGTCGCCCTATATAATCGGTCTATAATAACTTAAAAATGAGAAGAGCCTAAATTTCTATAATACCGCAAAACTAGCACCAAGCGAGCAAAATGGAGGCAATAAAAAGTTTTAGGAACAATGGGTCAGGTAAGCAGGTACCAAGACTCTGAGATAAGGTGTATAAAATCCTTTTGTAAAGAGCATTTGCATGGCCTTGTAAACAAATTCAATGCTACGACAAAATTAGTGCAATTCATACCTATATCACACATAGATTCTAAACCGAAGAGTTTTTATTACCATAATCTTGTCCCCAAGGTATGTAACTCGTCCTTCGTTCGTGATTTCGAGCCAACAGTTTTACAAACAAGTCAGTACATACATCAAATGAATCGGTAATTTCCACATATTGCTCGTGTTCTCCCGATGGCGCAGACAACTTTTCCGCTTCATTCTAGATTTTAGTAAGAAAACGACAGTAAATAGTACGTTTTTAGGTTATGATGAAAAGATATTAAATTCGGCCGCTATTTCTTATTTCTTATGGGATTTTCTTCCACAAAAATTAAAACATTCAGTTTCATATCCTCCGTTAAAATTAAGGGTTGTTTACGGTGTCTTATGTGGATCGCATTTAAACAACCACTAATTTTGAAGTAATCAACACAGAAAATAGGTCTCTTACGCTCCTTAAACTATGCTACTGTACTGACACTATACCAACTGACCATATCAACTTTTTCTTCAAGTGAATACATGGCACACGAACGAAAATAAAAATACGAAAGAAGTTATTTTGGTTGCATAAAATTAGGCGTCCTTCAGAAGAGTTTTTGTCATTTAAAACTAGACATAGGGAGAACAATACACAAGTCCCTATGTCTAGTTATAAATGAATATCACTGTATGTAAAACAATCTATTAATATTTCTTGCAACAAACTTGTAAATAAAAGCCGGAATTTGCCTCCCCATATGCGTCGCACGTTTTAAACGCCTATTTACGGGGCCCGTGCCGTTGCGTACCGAGATTCTTCATAATTCGCGTCTTCTCTCTAAATCGTATGTCATGAATCATGATTGATAGGAATCTGGAACGAAAATGGACAAAGCGATATTGCGAGAAATTTCAATTGTAGCGAAAGATAGTCGCCGACTACCGGATTTTCCGCTGATAGAGATCTAACCAAGTGTAGGTAATAATCAAGTCCACAATAAAGTCCTTCGGGACCGACATTCGTCGCTCTAAAACTAATTTCGTAAAATAGGTCGACTCTCTTTTGTTTGCGAGTTTCATACAGAGAAACAATTTCGCGATAGACCGAAACCGCAGCGCCTAAATTATGAACAAAAGCGCTCCGTGTCGAGACGGCCAGTAGGGTGTACGTAAGTATATGAAAATTTGGGACTACGACAATTATCCTTCTAATTTCGGGTATAGGTCCAACTTCCGACCTTATTGTGGTCACGCAAATGGAACGGTTGTGATGAGTGGAAGTATATACATCGTTAACCCTCTACTGTACGAGTTTAGTCGATTTGTGGGTTTGAACTTTGAAGGTTCTGTAAACCTACTCTGTTGTTATTTTTCATTTTCGAGTGTCTTTTGAGGAGCTCCT